TAAGTGAATTGTATAGTATGTGAATTATACCACAATAAATCTGTTAAAGCTATATAATAATTAGCCAAGTGTAGTATTAGGGATGGAAGAATTGATTTATATTGGAATACAAGCCTAGAAATAAATGTGCTCTTATAAGGAATCTTAATTTAAGACAGATGGCATTACAAGCCAGTAGGAAAAATAAGAGCATTTCAAATTGTGCTGGATATCCATATGGAAGAAAATGAAATTGTGTCTCCTTAATACCATACAGAAAAATCAGTTTCAGGTGAATTAACTGTGAAACAAAAACCTATTAAACCTCTAGAAGGCAAGATAGAAAGACATCTTTCTGACCTTATGGTAGGTAAATGCAAACAATATAAAATATATATTCAAAATACACTAAAAGCCTGTGTTCCTTAAGCTCTTGGAGAAGTAGTTGATTTCAGTTAGGCACAGGAACTGTACTGAGCTTACAACATTTTGTTGTGCAACATAGCAAAGAAGCTATTGGGATCATGTCAGATGGACTTGAGAGAACTGAAAAGCATCCCACCGGCCAAAGTTAGGACATTTTGAGTATAAATAAGGATTACAGGTTCACTGAAATTTACCTGAGCACAGGTTGGAACATATAAAATGCAATGGATTGGAACATACCAAACTTAATAATTTCATAATTCCTTTAAGTCCGTGAGTTCATAATGATAGTAAAACTAACAACAAGTATCTAGTGGTCAACAAAGGAAGCCATGGAATCAATTCATTATTTTGAAAACCAGTTAAATTAATTAAGCATTTGTCCTGCAATTCCTATAAGAACTGTACTGAAGTTAAATAGTAAATGAGGAGACATTCTCTATACATATGTATTTAATAAATGAAGGAATGATAGAAAATTGCCATTTTGAGATTCATAATGAATACATTAATTTATTCACTTTAACATGACAAACAAGGAAACTATGCCTCTTAATGTAAAAATACACCATCATCTATTTAAAAATCTTGCCCCAAAAATTGAACCTGACTAGAAAATACAGAGATGTGTTAAACAGCATGGTTACACAATCAGGAAAACTCAAATCTATGGGAAAAATCATGGGACAAATTAACTTCAACCAATAGGTTGGAGGAGAGGGAGAAAAAAAAGGGAAAAGTGTGGATTGAAAGAGGCTTACTTAAAAGATATATGAAGCAATATATGAACTTACTAGCAGTTTTCTATTGCTGTATAACAAGTTAATGTAACACTAAAAATATTTATCTCAGTGTCTGAGAGTTAGGAATCCAGAAGTGGCTTATTTAGGTATTCTGGCCCAGGGTCTTAGGAGTTTGCAGTCAAGCCATTGGCTGGGTTGCTGTCCTCTGAAGGTGACAGAAGATAGGTGATAGAAGATCCAGTTCCAAGATAGCTCACTCAGGGGTTCTTGAGGGTGTCTACAACATGGCTCTTGGCTCTCCCCAAAGCAAGAGATCCAAGAGAAGTCAAAATCACTCAAACTGGTATACCATTACTTCTATAGTCCATTAGTTCCACAGATGATCCCTGACACAGTGTGGCAAAGAACTACACAAAAGCACAAATACCAGGAGGGTGGCTACCACATTTTTGCTTTTAAACATTCACATCCTTCCCATAGGCAGAACACTCACCCTCTCCCAAAATTCTCAAATAGCATTAGCTAAAAGTCTAGAAATTGAAAACAAAGACCAGCTATAGGTGTGGCTTTTCAGGTGTACTTCCCTAAGCACAGCTCCTTAAATAGAGTTACTCTTAATAAGAGGACCTGTAAACAAAAATATGCAGTGTTTGCTTCCACACACCTAATACAAAATGGGATAACAATGTGTATTTAACAGGTGGGAGGTGGGGGGTGGGGGTGAGGCACACAAGTTTACAGAAATTGATATCCACCTAAACAACTTGATTGGTAGTTCTTTGATTAAAATTCAAAACGAGAGTAATTCTCCATGGCTCTTAACTCTGCCTTATAGTCTCTTGGATCCCACTCACTGAATCGCCCTTCCTTTCCCATGTTTACAACTGTATAGTTCTCTGCCTGTAGCAGCTTGGATGTCCAAGGCCTGTTTTTATTTGGTTCTCTGTCCCAGTCCAGGCTGGCAAACAACCTGCTAATATAATTCTTTTAAAAAGTCTCTTAATAATTATATGCTGCTAATATAATTAATTATCTTATAAATTTTGTGAGTCTCCTGTGAATTTTGAGTTAACACCAATAAACAAAGCAATACTCATAAATCTCTTCCATATAAACCCCTGCACCACACCCTTAACCTTCTCAGAAGCTCTGTAATTTAATGAAGAGGTCATGAGGCACACTCTCATGTCTAAATGAAAAGACTGAGTTACCACGTTAGATCTTTCTGAGACCTTAAAGGGCTTTACAACTACACCCTCAACCTCATACCTTTCTGTTAGTGCTCTGGATTTGTTCTTTGTTCTGAGCCATTTCCTAATTTTATATCTGTCACCTGGAGAAGCTGGGGATCTTCAAATCTCAAGTTCTGGCTCCTCTGGAACAGTCCTTTAACTTATCTCTCTCTTTATACTTGACTACAAGCAACAAGAAGAAACCAGGTGACATCTTGAACATTCTGGTTGGAAATCTTAGCTAGATCACCCAGTTAGGCATATCTTCTATTGTACTGTGCACATAACTGCAGGTGACAAAGTTGCTAAACTTTCTATCACTTTTCTCCAATCTCCAGTAAGACTATTCTAATCTGTTAAGACCTCATCTGCAGCCTTCTCAAGATTATCATGCATCTACAATTTCTTTAAGGCTCTTCAAACTCCCTGCCACTCCCCAAGTCCTTCCACCTTCTGTCCTCTGCCACTTCCAAAGCCACTCTTACATTTAAAGTTTTTTATGTCACCATGCCACTTTCAAGTACCAAAACTCTATTAATTTCCTATTGCTTCATAACAAATACAAAAGTGGGGGGAAATGTATTGTAAATCCACGGACATGGATGGATCTAACAACGATAAGCAACAACCAATTCACAAAAGAATACAGCAGGATTCCACTTTTATAAAGCATCAAAAAAGTAAAATACATGTCTTGTTTAAAGGTGCAAACATAAGTAAATCTATAAATTCAAGCAAACATGATAATCACAAAATCAAGGGACTGAATTTACCTACTGAAGGTAGGGAATAGGTTAAGGAAGTAGCATACAAGGAACATAAAAGTGGTATAACTTGACATGTTTATGTAGCTGGGACAATCCCAGTTTGCCTATTTTCCTGGTGTAGTACTATCACTCTTTCACACTCAAAGGTGTCCTGGTTTAGATAATAAATTATATGTTATCCTTTTTAAAGTAGCTTTTTCCCTTTAATCTGGATAGAGGCATATGGACCTTCATTGTACAATTTGTCCTAATAGAATGCAGGTGTTTTACAATATTCATTTAAAACTAGAAAATATTTAATAATATAATTTAAATTTTTAGTCAGCAACAACAGAGTAAAAGTAAATCTGTATGTAGGATAAATGTAAATAGGATTTGCATTAAATCCTCATCTGGGTGGACATGGAGATAGATAATATAGTACATGTCTGGCATTGTGTTAGCCCTTTACAGATATTACTTCATCTTCATAGCAAGATTTTTAGATGGGTATTATCTCCATTTTACACATGAAGAATCTGAGGCATAAAAAAAGTATATGTAATTTAGCCAAAGCCATACACTGACAGAGCAAAATCTGAACCCAAGCAATGTGACACCAGACTACATGCTTTTAACCAGAATTCCAGAGTCCATAATAGACATTCTTAATCTTTTTTGTGTCATGGATCCTTTTGGAAGTCTGATTAGGCCTAGAAAGCCCTTTTTTAGAATCATGTTTTAAATGTATAAAACATGCATAATATTATAAATGAAACTAATTACAGTAAAATACAGTAATGAAAATATTCTACAAAAGTGTGCTATACATATGCTTCTTTGTTATGCATCAAATAAAATATAGCTGAGGATCTAATAACATGTATAGCATTTTAAGTAGTGCTACTTATTGTATCTTGAGATACAACACCAATTGTATCTTGAGATTTCTACAAGTATAGCAAAGTGGCAGGAGAACATCTCTGATTTTTATTGTGAAAAAGTCACCAGTACTTATAATAACACTGATTTATTACCTATGTTCAAAATTGAAAGAAATTCTCAATTTCATTTTGAGGTTAGCAAAAACTAAGGTGTAATATTTTTCACATTGAAATTCATAACCCTTTGTTTTATTACCTTAATTCATAGACTTTTTAAAAACATTTTCCATCGACTTTATTTTCAAATACACTTTCTTAAGAAAAGAAAAGCCAGTATACTTTCCGTGGGCATAGCAAGTATCCGTATTAGGAAATCCAATTATACAAAAAATACCACATCTAGTCAGAGGTAGATATATTTATTTTTTGGTAACATACATTAAGTGGCACTAATTACACAGTCACTACAAAGTAAGTAACATGAAACCACAGGACTTAACTTTGCCACAGCTGCATGGACTTCGGCATTTCTAGCTGAGCACATTTTGAAAAAACAGGATGCCCACTGCAGAGCTCTGCCAATGAAATCTGTTCGGGAGGAAAGTTATGAGGTGGTGACTCACCAGCCTTCCTTGCAACTGACAGATGACTGGCAAGCCATGTTAGTTATGAAGTAGTTACAGCCTTATTCACAAACGTTACCGTTTCTCTTTCCAGAAGAAAAAAAATTAAGAAATTCTTCGAATTAGCCCCCAGTGTGTTAGGTGCGTGTGCAGAGGAGGGCTGTTAGAGCTGTGTCAGGAGGACCCGATGGGTCAGGTGGGTAGGACATCAGTAATAATCATGGTTGTCTTCTAAATACTGATAGCAAAATGACTTCTGAGTTGTAATCTTAGGTAAATTTCGGATAAATGAAGAAGACCAGTAGTCATACACTAAGATATAAACAGCCCTTCTCAGCTGCATGAATGTTGTGCTTGCATCTGGGTCTCACAGGACAAGGCACCCAGACTTTCGCCTCCCACGACTGGCCTGTAGAGCAGCTCTCGTGGCCATTTCAAAAACTTCCCTCACTCCATCTTTGGTCTTCGCCGAACACTCTGCGTAGCCGAAAGCGCCGATCCTTCTGGCCATAGCTCTGCCTTGCTCCGGCTTCACCGGCTCCTGCCGCGACCGGCCCAGCTTCCGCCGGTTCCGCAGATCCTTCTTGTTCCCGACCAGGACGATGGGCACGTCGGGACAGAAGTGCTTGACTTCCGGAGTCCAAATTTCTGGGATGTTTTCAAAACTGTCGGGGCTAGCAATGGAGAAGCACATCAGCACAACGTCTGTGTTGGGGTAGGCCAGGGCCCGCAAGCGGTTGTAGTCTTCCTGCCCGGCGGTGTCCCACAGGGCCAGCTCCACCCGCTGCCCGTCCACGTCAATGCCCACCACGAAGGCCTCGAACACGGTGGGCACGTACGCCTCTGGGAACCGATTCCTGTTGAAAACGATGAGCAAACACGTCTTGCCACAGGCCCCGTCGCCAACCACCACCAGCTTCTTCCGGATGGGCGCCATTGCTCACGACGAGCTGCGAGGCCCACGCCGCTGTGGCTGAGGCTCTCCGAAGGGCCTTCCACCGCTCAGATGAAAGGCGCTCGGCCAGGGCTCCGACTGGGCCTCGCTACGCTGAGGACGCCTGTGCCGGGGGGATCGCAAACTCGATGGCCAGGGCGGGTGTCCGAGGCCGCAGGGCCCAACGAAAGAACCGGTAGGAGGGCCGAGGGCAGTGGGTACTGAGCGCGGGCGGGCGGGCGAGCGAGGTCTGCGTGCGGGCGGGGGAGCAACGCCTGAACTTGCAGACTTGCTGACGTATGTTTTATTTCAGAAGAGGGCATATTCTTGACCCCCAACCCACTTTCTGGCTTGGAATTATACTCAAAATGAGATACATAAGTAGCTTACAAATAAATATTTCTGTATGTGGTGTAATTAGGTGGGGAGTGAGAAACAAGGAGGTGTGAGGATGCAGAGGTGTGTATACAGATAATGGGAAGCTTGGAACTGCTTTAGATGTTTAATTTGGTTCTGAACATTTAAATTGCACACGAAATTATTCATAAAAGAATTCATTATTGATCCCACCGCACGCTGCAGTATTTTGTCAATACCTGTAGCAATGTTATAATCATAAAAGAAAAAATAGCTTGACACTTTTTAAAAGTTTCATTGGGCTAAAAGAAAAACATAGGACAAATTTTTTATTTGCCTTTCTCATGATTTGATGTCCCAGCAGAGCAACTGGAGAACCTAATTCTGACCAACAAGGAGGAATTGCTTGGCTAATTGGAAGTGACAGAAACCTTGGGAGAAAACAACTGCATACAAAGGATAATTATAAAAAGGTAAAATGGGCCCTAAAGGATAGCATCAGGAAATCTGAAGCCCCCAAATGAGGTGAGACTTGCAAAAAATGCTAAGACAGGACAAAGAGTGGGCTTTTTAAAATTCTGTACAGAGCCAGAGGATGATCAAGGAAAGGGAAAACCTACTTGCAGTTTCTGGTGTAAGGTTAGAGCTGACAGAGAAAGCAAAGCTCCCTAAATATTGTTTTGTTTCATTCTCTACACAGGAAACTTAAGTGGGTTGACATAGTAGAAAGACTATGTGTATTTGTGGGGTAAGGCAGACCTGGGTTTAATTCTTTTTCAACAGTTAGTTATATTACCTGGATCTCCTTTTCTCATCTGTAAAATGGAAATAACTATCTTTCTCATAGGATTGTTCTGAGTGATGGAAACAATACATCCAAAATACTAAGCCATGCTCACAATAGTGACTCGGTAAATAGCAATTTATTAATATTACTGAAAAGAGTAGTATAAATATTGACAAGAAGCAGTACTCATCCAAATAGGAAAAAACATTTTAAGAAACCTACAATTCCAATTTAGATTATATGAGTGGCTTATATTGAAGGCTTTGGAGGTAGGAGGTGGGGAGTATGAATAGGATCTGAGAAAAATTGTCATCTTTGAGGAATTATGGGAGACAGAGTAGGTGCTCAAACACCAAATGTGGGCAAATGTCTGCCTTCAGGGTGAAAAGTGGAAATCTAAAACCTGGAATTATTTGCTTTTTGACTCAGTGATATTTTCTCCCATTGGTGTAGTGTTCATTTGCCCATGGAAGGGGAAATGCAAAAAAAAAAATGCAACTAAAACAAAGGAATACTTTTGATTTTCCAAAGAAATGCATAAAGTGAAGGTAGAAGTCCTGGAAGCTAAGGTGGTTAAAAAAAAAAAAAAAGAACAGGATTCTTGAATTTCTTCAAAGCTTTGAGAGGTAAAGCTTGAAAGAAGAAGGAAAAAATTGCATCCTAAAGCAAGATGTAGTGGGTTGAATGGTGGCACCCAAAAAATTATGTTCATGTCCTAATTCCTGGAACCTGTGAATGTTACCTTATTTGGAAAAATGGGTCTTTGCAGATATAAATAAGTTAAGGAACTTGTGATGAAATCAGCCACCCTGGATTGTCTTCTGGGCCATAAATCTAATGACCAGTATCCTTATGTGACAGAAGAGGAGACATAGAGAAGACAATGTGACTGTGGAGGCTAAGATTGGAGTGATGTGGCAGTAAATCAAGGAATGCTGACAGCTACCAAAAGCTGGAAGAGGCAAATAATGGATTCTCCCCTACATCCTTCAGAGGAAGTACAGTCCTCATAACACCTTATTTTGGACTTCTGGCCTCCAAACTAATATAAAAGAATAAATTTCTGTTGTTTTAAGCCACCATTTTATGGTGTTTTGTTACAACAGCCCTTCGAATTTACTGCACAGAACTCAAAGGGGATCAACTGATATCTCTAGTAGACTGTTTTCTTGGGCTGGAAGGAATGAGGGGTTATGAAATGGGTGATGGAGGGTGCAGAAGGTCTGAGGGACTCTTGGAAGGAACATATGAATGAGAGTGGAGTTAGCAATGTGCAGAGTGCACAGTCTGGCCATTTATAGAAATTGTCAGCTTGAGAGAGACCTGACAATGCATTGCCAGAACCAGGAAGTCACATGGCAGGCAGGTAATCAATATAGGAAGTTCTCCCTAAAAGAAACCTATGTCATCAGATGGAGTTTCTGTTTCATTGATGAATACTTTCCACTCCCTACCCCCTTTATCTGTAGCAGAAGTAACAGCTGTCTCTCCATATTCTCATACTTTGTACTCAATCCTATCCAAACTTCTCATAGGAAAAAAAAAGTATCTTTTCGATATTTTCTGGCAGTCTCAAACACTCAGAATAAAGAAAGGATCATGGACAGTGGCCAGGGTTTCAGTGATACAGAATGGAAGACATATCACTTGGAAAACCTTCTTTCAATCTTTATTTTACTGGGACTCTATTGAGAGCCCCACCTCTAATCCCCAACCAGGACTATGTTGATCCCAGGCAAGACTCTAAAGAGAATTATTAAAAGGGTGCTCTGGGAGCACCTATGAGAGAAAACAGTGCCCTAGACAAATACCTCAGTTGGTTAGGGCATCATCCCAATATGCCAAGATTTTGGTTTGATCTCCAGTCAGGGCACATATAGGAATTAACTAATGAATTCATAAATAAGTGGAGCAATAAGTCAATGTCTCTATCTCTCAAAATCAATAAATATATAAAATTATTTTTAAGAGAAAGCAGTTTGGGTTTACCAACCAGAATTAATTTGTTCTATTTAATTTTCTTCCTCACAGGATTACTAGACTAGTACACCAATGAAATGTAGTAGACAATATTTATTGTATCTGTGCCCAACAGGCATTGACATTTATTACCATATACTTCCAAGTTAGTTGGGGAAGAAAGACTGACTAGGTGATAGACTGACTCCTGGGTGGCAATGAGCCTCTGCAGAGGTTTTTAGTAGAGAGCCACAGTCCTTCACTAAGTCAACACTGTATTTCATTGGCTTGAGAGAATATGCTCATATAAAATTTATATTTATCAAAACTCTACCTGATTCAAAGATGGAAGGGACAGGATGTTTTACAAACCTTGGGACAGCTTGATGTTGACCTGTTGAACAGCTTGATGCTAAAGTCTAGATATCCACAAAGTTTAGAATGATAAAATCAGGGATTCTAAGAGTCTAACAAACTATGATTTTTAAGTTTCTTCACTCACTTAGGTGTCACAAATGAATGGAATACCTACTCTGTAAGTGTCTATGTGGGGCTTTAGCAAAATGATTAAGGTATGGTTCTTGGAATGCAGTAGTTTAAAATCTGGTGAGTGAAACAGACTTGTAAAGAAATAAAATATAAATAAAATAAATGTTCATTGTAAGGGCTTATATTTAGTAAAAATTAAAAATAAACTACATTTGGCCCTGGCCAATGTGGCTCAGTTAGTTGGGCATTGTCCCACAGACCAAAAGGTCACCAATCAGGATGCATGCCTGGGTTGTAGGTTCAGTTCCCAGTCAGGGCTTGTACAGAAGGTAACTAATCAATATTTCTCTCTCACATCAATGTTTTTCTCCTCCTTCTTCCTACCTTCCCTTCTCTCTAAAATCAAAAATAAAAATAAAATTTATTAAAAAAAAATAGAAACAGCTACATTCAATTATTTGGGATGGACTGGCACTAGCATACAAACACCTTTAAGATTGGAGAACAATATTTGTGAAGAATATGACAGTGGAATAATTTTCTAAAATTAAGAGTTTAAAGGAGAAAACAAATATTCAATAAAGATATAAAAATATTTTAAAAATTTATCCTTATTTTTAAGCAAGTCAATACAACAAATTTGAAAAAAAAAATAGTATTCCAAGCTTGAAAAGTTGTGGTGAGATGGACACGTTTTTTAAAAAAATGACTTTTTATTTTTCAATCACAGCTGACATTCAATATTATATTAGTTTCAGGTGTACACCCCAGTGATTACACATTATATAACTTACTAAGTGACCATCCCTAAATCTTATATCCATCTGACACCATGCATAGTTACTAGAATATCATTGACAATATTCATTCCCTCTGCTCTACTTTACATTCCCATGACTATTCTATAACAACCAATTTATACTTCTTAATCCCTTCACTTTTTTTCACTCATCCCTCAACCTCCCTCCCATCTGTCAACTGTCAAAATGTTCTCTGTATTTATGAGTGTATTTCTGTTCCACTTGTTCATTTATTTTGTTTTTTTAGATTCAGTTGTTGCTAGGTATGTATTTATTGCCATTTTATTGTTCATTTTTTATCTTTTTTTTTCTTTCTTCTTCTTAAATAAGATTCTTTAACGTTTCTTGTAATACTGGTTTGGTGGTGATAAATTCCATTAGCTTTTTCTTGTCTGGGAAGCTCTTTATATATCCTTCAAGTCTAAAAGATAGCTTTGCTGGATAGACTATTCTTGGTTTTAGGCCCTTGCTTTTCATCACTATGAATATTTCTTGCCACTCCCTTCTGGCTTGCAAAGTTTCTGTTGAGAAATCAGCTGACAGTCTTCTGGGAGCTCCCTTGTAGGTAACTAACTGCTTTTCTCTTGCTGCTTTTAAAATTCTCTGTCTTT